AGTTTGGATGCCGATCTGTGTGACTTCCAAGCCCTTAAGCTGACACATTGTTGGTCTTTGAGAAGCCAACAAGGATCAGCCCAGGGGCTCAGGGATTGCTGTAGCCCAGGGGAAGTTTGCAGCATACAAGCGGGTGTGCATCCATTTCGTATTTCCCTTTCATTTTAAAACTACCCTGAGAGACTAGCCTGATGGAGCTGCCCAGAGTCCTGCACACAGGTGTACTAGCCTCCAACAAGTTGGCTGGACTAGGCTGGCAGGTGTGAAAAGCAAAGCCTCTGGAATCCAGTCACTCATGTGTAATCCAAATCAATTATTTCTGTCCATAGCCCCCAGGAGGCCACTTTATTATTTATGCTATTATGCAAATGCATATTTAGCACTTATTTGCCTGTCAGGCTCTGTTCTAAGTACTTTACATGTAATAACTCAATGTGCTCATGCTCATAGGTATATACAATTTTAGCACCAGCCCTTTACCAAAAAGCAGGTGACTATACAGCTAATTTGCAAGGTCTCCTGGGGAATGCCCCTCTCCGTTCCCTCAGGAAGGCCTTTTCACCATAAGCCCACCTTCCTCTTGATTCCACAGATCCTCATGGGCTTTGAGCGTCTGCAGGCTATTGCCCGGAGCCGCTGGCTGGCGAGGCAGTACCAGGCCATGTGGCAGAGGATGGTCCAGCTGCAGGCCCTCTGTAGAGGCTACCTGGTGCGCCAGCAAGTCCAGGCCAAGAGGAGGGCAGTGGTGGTCATCCAAGCACACGCCAGGGGCATGGCTGCCCGGCAGAGCTTCCAGCGGCAGAAAGCCAGTGTAGGTGATCACCCAGCAGGTGGGGCTGGTGGAGCTGGCTGGGGCCCAAGAGGATGAGGGCAGGTGGGAAGAGTGAGCAGCAACATAGAGTTCTCATTAGAAGCCCCTTTGGAAAGTCCCCACCCTCAAGCCAAGATGTTAAAATCTGTTCCAGTTATTCAAGAACACAGCAAGAATTCAGGAGGCAAATTAGGAGGTGCCTCCTGGACTGAAATTTAGATACCACGAGAGACACACCTTTCCTCTCCCTGTCCAAAGGCAGTCCTGCAGTGACCCATCACGCCATCTGGGAAGCCTTGGCCACCAGCCGCGAGCTGGCAGGGTGTAGCATGGGCGAGGCATCAGATCAGCAAGACCGCATTATACCTGGAACCTGGAAGTCAAGACCCTTGGTCCCTTCCCTTTAGCCTTGGGGATGGTTTCTGGGCAAGGATGGTTGGTCCTTCAAAAGGCACAGGAAATCTGGGCCAGATGAGCTATAGGAGGCCACCATGCCATGGTGGAGAGCAAAGGCTTTGGTTGCTGGGCTGTCCATGACAGCTCAGGGGACAGAGAAATGCCCAGGGGAGCCATCTGGGAGGCTGGGAGAATAAGGAGCAGGGTTAGCACCTGCATTTTGTAGGCTCATCTCTGCATGATCCCATTTCTTCTGTAGGCTACCTAGACCCAACCTCCTTCTTCTCACTTGGCTCATTTAGAACTTGTGATAAGGCCAGAGGCCAGGATGATGCTTACCTCTGCTCCACTGATGAGAGTTGGGTCTGTGGAGCAAACTACTAGTACAGTGAACAGAGCAAGTGAGAGGACAGACACATCAGCAGTGTGCTTGTGCCCCCGAGTGACACCAGCCTGGCTGCAAAGCAGTCTGACCTGTGCATTAGTTTGTTCAGGCACCAGGGACCTCTCCTGGTGGAACCTTGATGCCCTTTGAATGAAAGAAGTGGGTGGGCTTGAGCAGTGGTTTTACGGCTGGGTTCTGAGGTCCTGGAGTTTGAGGTGGTGCCTCAGGGACCATGTGAGGGTAGGGACGAGGCAAAAACCTCACCTATCCAGGCCTCTGATTGTCTCTGGGAAGGAAAAGCCCTGGCTGGTTGATTGCTAGTCAGCCGACGTTTTAAAATCTTTTATGTTAGCACAAAATATGTTGATCTGGATAAGTGCTGGTAAGACAAGGTTTACTTGGCTTCTGTGAGGTGCTTGCCCTGTGAGGGTAGGCAGAGCTGGGCCCTCTGAGCCCAGCTGGGCCTGTGACAACCTTCCCTTGTGGGATGTGTGCAGGGACTGCTGGTGACCCCAGCTGAAGAGCAGAAGAGCCAAAGCACCCTCCCCACCAAGAAGCGCAAGTCCATCTACGACACCATCACCGACACAGAGCTGGTAGAGAAAGTGTTCGGCTTCCTCCCTGCCATGATTATGGGGCGGGAGGGCCAGACCTCGCCAGGCTCCAAGGTAAGACAAGCCTGTTGTTCGCAGTCTAGCCCCAGGAGGGGATGGAAGCACTTGCCCAGTCCCTGACCTCAGCCAAACTCTAGGCTCCTTGAGAAGCTGAGACAGCTGGGGGAGCCGTTGGAGCAGGTGGCCACGGTGTGCCGCAGCCCTGGGTGGTCATGCAAGAAGGGCAGCAAGCATGGGTTTCTGTGGTCAAGCCCTTTTGAGTCAAGCAGGTTTCTCAGCTGCAAGACTTCCCAGAGCCTTTACAGTGTGAATGCTACTGGGCTCTCACTCATGCAGCATCTCCTGCATATATTTGACTCCCCAGCCGCCAGAGGACCTTGGAGGCTGCTCTTCTGCAGAATGTCTTTTGAGTCAAGCAGGTTTCTCAGCTGCAAGACTTCCCAGAGCCTTTACTGTGTGAATGCTACTGGGCTCTCACTCATGCAGCATCCCCTGCATATATTTGACTCCCCAGCCGCCAGAGGACCTTGGAGGCTGCTCTTCTGCAGAATGTGACTGTAGAAGCTGAGGTCGAGGACGATGAATGCAGCAGGAGGGTGGGGTGTCTGAGGGTAGTGGTGCAAGGAAAGGGGAGGGGCCAGGAACAGCAGTGTCCCCACGGTGGTCCTGCCATAGACCCCCCACTGCAGCCTGCTCTGGGCCCTGAGACTTGGTGACCTAGGTTCCCTGCCCCTCACCATGCTCATGGCCTCAGGCCCCCTCTGCCCCTTCACCCTGTGCAGTAGGGGTGGCTGGGACCACCTCCTCCAGAGGAGCACTGCCCCCTGCTCTGTGGGGAGGATGGCACGGGGGAAGTGTAGAGACCCCACCTCTGCAGAACAGGGGACTCAAGGTCACACTGCCAGATAGCCAGCACATGGCAGCCCACCTGAGTGTGGGAGGAGGGAAAGGTGTCCAACACAGGGGGAGTGGACACATGCCACTGCACCTGGTGGACACCTGGGCAGACCTTTCTTGGGCTCTCTGGCCTCCAGAGAGGCTCACATCACTGGTGGCTAGCTGACAGTTTGGCTGTTATCTGAAAGGGCTGCTGACCAATGTCCCTCCCTCTGCTGGCCCCCAGGATCTGGAAGCAAAGACCCAGAAGCTGCCTGAGGTTGACCTGGACACAGTCCCCATGGTGGAAGAGGCAGAGGAGGACATGGATGACCTGGCTGAGTACACCTTCCCCAAGTTTGCTGCAACTTACTTCCAGAAATCGGCCAGCCACACACACATCCAGCGGCCCCTGCGATACCCATTGCTCTACCACGAGGACGATGCTGACTGCGCGGTACCCAGTGGTTCTCTGATTTCCAGTGGCTCAGGCCTCCCCTCTAGAGCCTGAAGTCTGAGCTGTGGTTCAGAGGGAAGAAGGAAGGGTTGGGGTCACTGTGGGTCCCAGTGCTGGGAGCTGGATTCCAGCCAGGCCGTGTGTCTCATTTCTCCAGTCCTCCCTGGCCATATGGAACATCGTCCTGAGGTTCATGGGTGACCTTCCAGAGCCAGTGCTCTATGCCAAGAACAGCCTGCGTGGCAGCTCAGTGATGGAGCAGCTCCGCGACATGCTGGGCAGGGAGAGTGGCGCCCAGCATCCACAACACGGTGAGGCTGCACAGGTGAGTGGTGCACGGGCAGCAGGGAGAGGAGGCTGGCTGGGAAGGGGAGACAAGACCTGAAGCACTTTCTTTGGCATTACCTGCTGAACCCAGCTCCCAAGCCTGGGCACCCAAGCATTTTCAGTCTTTTTTTTTTTGAGGAGGCTGGCTGGGAAGGGGAGACAAGACCTGAAGCACTTTCTTTGAAAGTTACCTGCTGAACCCAGCTCCCAAGCCTGGGCACCCAAGCATTTTCAGTCTTTTTTTTTTTGTTAGCTGGCCATTATGGGGATCCAAATCCTTGACCTTGGTGCACTCTAACCAACCGAGCTAACCGGCCAGCACACATTTATTATCTCACACAGTCTCTGAGGATCAGGAGCAGCTTAGTTGATTAGTTCTGGTTCAGGGTTTCTCATGAGGTTGCTGTCAAGTGGACCCAGGGCTGGAGGGTCCACTCCCAGGATGGCTCACTCACAAGGCTGTTGGCAGGAGGCCTCAGTTCTTTGCTACGTGGGCCTCTCCACAGAGCTGCCTGAGCATCTGCACAACATGGCTTCCCCCAGGATGAGTGACCCCAGAAGGAAGATGCCATGTCTCATCTTGGAAGTCACATATCACTGTGGGAGGGTCCACCTTGGATGCCGGCAGCCACCCTGCATATTCTGGAGGGTGGAAGCAGGACTGGCTTCCCAGAGGTCAGATCTGAGGTTTTCCTTATGGCACGTTAAGTGCAGGAGGTCCCACCATGTGCCCCACTCACAGAGCAGCAGGCAGGCCCCACCACCCTCACGGAACTTGCCAGCTAATGTGTCTCAAGTTCAGTCCCTATGTGGCAAGCCAGCATTTCCCCAGCCAAAGCTGGTGCCTGGCCCTGGACACAGGCTGATCCCAACCCAAGCCCAGTCCCACACTTAGCTCTAATTTTGGCAGCAAATTCTTCTTATGACACCATCATGACGAGGTACAGCCTCTGCCTAAGTAGACTAGCAGGCCCTAAAGGCTGGGGTCAAGCCCCTCCCTGCTCAGCACCAGCCTGGCAGCCTGGGCTCCTCTGATCCTCTGCAGACCTCCACGTGCAGTGGGCAGAGCATCCTCTGATTCATCCACCAAATTTTTCCTGAGAATGACCATGGCTTGGGGCTGTCCTGTGCACCCAGGCTTAGACCCAGCTCCGCCTCCGAGGGCTTTCCTGAGGAGGGGCACAAGCTTTGGTAACTGGCTGGACAGACTTTATCTCTTGTCTTGCATGAGCCTATTTCCTCATCTGGAAGTGAGGATGACGATGCGCACCTGCAAGAGTATAAAGCGAGGCCAAGACAAGGCACTGCACGTTGCTTTGTAAATTGGGCCAGGAAGTGGCTGGGTGAGAGGGACATTTGCCCACCCTAGGTGGCTGTAGGGTCAGCATCATCAAAGTACTGCCCAGGCTCACCTTCCCTCATTAACTGTCTCCTTCCACAGAGGCCCAGCCACAGGGACAGAGTGACCAAGGAGATCTCCTCCATGAAGCTGAAGCGGTCCTCCCGGATCACAGGCCAGGTGAGCCCAAGGCAAGGGGACCTCAGTCTGGCCAGGATTCCAGGCTTTCACTTTTCCTCCATGGCAAATGGGGAGAATCACAGCTACCCTGATGGTCGTCTTTGGGCTTCAAGGTCGCCAGCCAGCTGAACATCGGAGAGGAGGCCTTCGAGTCTGATGGTGCCGTCTCAGACCGCCCCATGTCCAACTTGGAGAAGGTGCACTTCATTGTGGGCTGTGCCATCCTGCGGCCCACCCTCAGGTCAGTCCCCACTCGCCCCTCACCCTGTTCACAGCTTCAGATCCCCTTGCTTGCTTCCAGCCTGTGGCCCCAACACACCTCCTCTCCTCCCAGCTTCCTGTCCTGGGCCTGCAGGCTGGGTCTTAGTACCGCCGATGTTAGGGCCAGCAAGGGCTCTTCGTTTGCTCTGCATTAAGAAAACCCATGGGTAAAACCCAGTTTTAGGAAAACAGACTCATCATGGGTTGGCCATTCGTTTTAGAGCAGGCTCAGTGCCAGCACCCTGTAAATGAGCAAGTCCCTCATCCATATTATGTGTATTTTGCTTCATATACAATTTGCTTTATAGGAATTGGGTTTTCATACAAATTACAAGAAACATGTATATTGCTTTAAGGGATAGACTACTGTATTTTAGGGATTCAATTACTTTAATATTTTTAACCAAATTTTGGAAGTTGTTGGTTATTATTCCTTCAAATATTTTTTCTGCCCCATTCTCTTTCTCTTTTCCTTCACACTCTAATTAAACCTATGCATGTGTTTTGTATATTGTCTCTCAGGTTCCTGGGGTCTGCTCATCTTTTCTTTCTTTTCATTTTCTCTCTGTTCTTTAGATTGAATGGTTTCTATTGATCTAGCTTCAAATTCACCAATCTTTCTCTTTCTTCCGCAATCTGCTGTCATGCCCATCTAGCAATATTTTTATTTTAGAGATATTTTTAGTTCTAGATTTTGCACTTGGTTCTTTCCTACACTTCGATTTCTCTGCCAAGATTTTCTGTTTGTTCATTTACTATGAGCATATTTTCCTTTATGTCCTTGAACAGAGTTATAGTAGTTTTATTTTTATTTTTATTTTTTTTTAAAAAGATGACCGGTAAGGGGATCTTAACCCTTGACTTGGTGTTGTCAGCACCACGCTCAGCCAGTGAGCGAGCCGGCCATCCCTATATGGGGTCCGAACCTGGGGCCTTGGTGTTATCAGCACCGCACTCTCCCGAGTGAGCCACCGGGCCGGCCCAGAGTTATAGTAGTTTTAAAACCTTTTCTGTAAATCCAATATCTGGGTCATCTGGGGTCAGTCTCCATTGGCTGTCTTTTTTCTTGAGGATGGTCATGTTTTTCCATTCCCTCCAGTATCTGGTACTTGAGTGTTATCTCCTCATAAATCTGGTACTTATGGATTGTATTCCCAGCAGGCAGAGGAGGGAAAGTGTAAACAGGTCACAGAGCCTTGACACAGCCTGAAGGGTCTGGAATTCTAAGTGGATTCTCACAGGTGGAGCATGGAGTTTGGATTCAAGCCTATGGGCAGTGGGGGAAAGTTTTAAGCAAGAGAGGACCGTGATCATATTTGACTTCCAGAAATATCTCCCTGGCAATAACATGTTGGGGTGGAGCCTGGGGGTGGGAGGCCAGGAAGGGGCTGTGACGGAGATCCAGAGAGAGATGATGAGGAATGGCCCCAGCAGCAGGAGCGGAGAGGAGGGTTCAGAGAAAACGTGCAGGAGACGGACGGCGATTGGATTGGGAGATGGAGGGATGGGAGGCGTCGAGGATAACTCCCAGGTTCCCGGTGTGGGTGTGCGGTGGGTGGTGATGCCTGTAGCCTGCAGGAGGAGGCGGTGTGCTGGAGCCGATCCTTCCCCGCTCACAGAGCCCACTGTGCTTGTCTTCACCCAGCTCTGTGTTCAGCAAAGTCATGCTGGCAGCTGAAATTGGCCTTAGTGGGAACATGGACACCACAGAAATTGGCATCTGTGACAAGTCCAGGCTTTTTTTCAAGGGAGAGATGTGTGATAAGCATTTACCAGCACACCATTGAGTATTAGGGGAAAGATACTGGCCTCTGGATATATGGGGTTTGACAGAGGCTGGAGTCTGTGGGAAAGGATTCAGGAGGACCCTTGGCCAAGAGCAGACTGGGTGTGTTGGGGAGGAGTTCGTGAGCCTGTGGGGATGGGCACTGGTCAGGAGGTAAGGGGCTGAGGTGTTCTTCCATGAAGTCCCGCTTTTCCCTGCAGGAGAGGGGGGTGGCTGTGTTTAGGAAGGAGGGTTGAGGAAAGGAGCAGATCGGGTTGGGCAAAGGCTGGGCTACTGAGGGCAGGGCTGTAGCTGACAGACCCGGGCGCCACTGCTGGAGGGCCATGCCCCGCTGCTGGAGGGCTGGGGCAGAGAGGCTGAGGGAAGCACACAGGGCCAGGGTGTTGTGGGGCAGAGTGGGAGGGAGCAAGGGCCTGAGGGACGAGTTGATGGAAGGGTGGGCTGAAGGGAGTGGGGACGCGGAGCCTGGAGAGACATCGGAGGTGGCACAGTCCTGGGAGGTGAGGAGGCTGGGGGACCAGAGTACTGAGGGACCCTACCTAGGGGACAAGAGGATGGTGTGCCCAGGCACCCCAGTCTCCTCTCCTCCCCCAGAGCCAGCTCCCAGTCCACCCTCCCCATGGTCTGTGTCTTTCAGAGATGAAATTTACTGCCAGATCTGCAAGCAGCTCTCAGAGAACTTCAAAATGAGCAGCCTGGCCCGGGGCTGGATCCTGCTCAGCCTCTGCCTGGGCTGCTTCCCGCCCTCGGAGAGGTTCATGAAGGTGGGGAGGGCCTGGGGGGAGTGGTTACATCTGGAGCATGGGTGGACCCTGGGTCCATGCCTGGTTCTCCTGCATCTGTAGGCCGGGATGGGCAGCAGTGCCTGCACTTCTCTGGGCCTCAGTTTCCCCATCTGTAAAAGAGGACACTGTGTCTGGCTCCTTCCAGCCCCTATCCAGGGTCTGCAGGACCATTTCACTTGGGCTAAGGCACCAGAATGGCTCTTCAAGACTAAACTGAGACAATAGATTAAATGTGCCTTGAAAAGACAGGAGTCCCAGGAATGGGCCCTGCCTGGAGATGGGCCGCAGTGCCTCTTTGAGTCCTCAGAACTAAAATAGAGGCGGTTGGCAGATGCTTCCAAGTGGGAGAAGCCCCAGGCTTTGCAGCTTTAGTGTAGTTCTGATTCTGACAGTAATATGCAGAACTGCAGAAAGTCTAAAACAAAAATAAGTCACCCCGACTCCCAGAGGTAACTGTCATTAATATTTTCTCTGGTCTTTTGTGGTGTTATAGTGTCATACTTGTGATCATACAGAAAACACTCACTTCCTGGTGGACAGCAGGAACCATGGTCACCCCAGTGGTCTGTTCTGGGCACTCGGGCCATTTCCGGCACCAGGAAACCCTTCCAGCTGTATCTCCCCACCCCACCCCAGGAAGGAATGAAATCTCTCTGTGAGACGAAAAGATTTTCAATACATTTTGTCAAACGTACTTTGGACATTGGCTCCCTGCATTTTTCGCTTTCTTATCTCTATAATGTTCTCAGGTATAAACTTCCCAAATGCCAGCTTCCACATCTGGCTGTCCCAGAGGGTATTGAGCTTGTTGGTGGGCATTTGGGGGCCATCTTCCAATTTCACATCACCCTAGATACCACTGTGATCAAAAAATACATAGGTGCCTTTAGAATAGGTTTGAGTTATTGGGTTAGAGGGCATGCACGTCTTAAAACTATGCAGTATTTAAAACATATTGCCAAGCTGCTGCCCAGAAACATACCAATTTCTGTTCCTTCTCCTGGAGCACGAGAGCATCCATTTCGTGTACCTTTACAAACTGAGTGTGATAATTTTAAAAATCTGTTGGGCAGTGAACAGAAATTGCCTCCATTCTGAGTGTCTTCCCTCCTTTCTCTTCCTCGCCCACCAGTATCTGCTGAACTTCATTGGTCAAGGGCCAGTGGGCTACGGGCCCTTCTGTGCTGAGCGCCTGAGACGCACCTATGCCAATGGGGTGCGCACAGAGCCCCCCACCTGGCTAGAGCTGCAGGTAGGGGCCAGCAGGGGTGGGGTGGGACAGGCCCCCATGGCTCCTTCAGCACGACTCAAGGGGTGCCTTCTCCTACAACAGGACTTGACCTCCTCCCCTCTGTGTTCCCTGTGGTACCTTCTGTGCCAATGGTCCCTGGGAGTCCCGCTGGGGCTCAGCCTCCCCAGGCATAGCCCAGGCTTCAAAGATGCCCTCCCCATCTATAAATTCACATTCCTCTAGGGCCCTACTAACTGCAGGGGAAACCAAATCTGACATATTCATTAGCATTAGGGTGTGAATGACAGCTAATTGCTTCAAGTATTACCGTCCCAAGGGCATCTGCACTTTGTAAAGTAGGCAGTGGTTATGCTGAGTTTGCTGTCCTTGGTGGCATTGCTGTCGGGAGCAGGTGCCACCTCTACCTGCTTTGACAGCTATGTCACCTGCGAGATCCTGAAGTGTCCTCGGGAAGGGCCATTCAGAGCAGCCAGGGTGAAGGGGACATCCCCAGCACTCTGCTGTACCCTCAGCTCTGGGCCCAGCCCAAGCCTGGAAGGTGCTCACTCCTGTGGCCCCATGGTGTCCTATATGGAGAACTGAAGCTAAGTATGTTCACACAGTGTTGTGCACAGACAGGATCAATAGCTTTCAAGGACCCCAGAATGTTCCCAAGTACCGGACTCAGGGATTCCCAAGAGCTCTCGTGAGTCTAAGTCACTTAACCTTGCCAATTTAGAGTTCTCATCTGAAAGTGGGACCATTACAGCCTGCAGGCTGCACCCCAGAGGCTGCAGAGGTGGACCTGGAGAAGCACACAAATCACTGGTGTATGTGCGCAGCATTGCTCTTGTCCCTGATGGCTGTCTGCTCAGCAACAAACAACTGGCCTGAACTTTGTAAACTCCATGCTGAGCCAAGCCAGCGCAGGGCTTCTAAAGGCCCTGCCCTTGGGAATCCAGGGGATGGGCAAGGAGGAACAATGGGTTCCGGGAGCACCAAGGCAGGCAGCTGAGCCCAGGGGCTTCCGGGACAGAGGGGCCTGAGTCTTTATCTGTCCCCAGGCTGTCAAGTCCAAGAAGCATATCCCTATCCAAGTCATGTTGGTGACTGGACAGAGCCTGACTGTCATGGTTGACTCAGCCTCCACGTCGCGGGAGATCTGCCTGCATATTGCCAGCAAGCAGGGCCTCAGTGACCACCTAGGCTTCTCCCTCCAGGTCTCTGTGTACGGCAAGGTACTGACCATGAGTCCCATCCATCGCCTGCCTCCCTCACATGCCCAGGCCAGAGCACCCTGAAGCTCTAGCCCTTACACGTCCCAACCTGGCCACCACCCCTCCCAGCCACCAAACACATGCAGGTGCACACACGGGAAATGCCTCAGGCCAGGCAGCCTGTCCTGCCCAGCTGGCTGTACCTCAGCCCAAAACAACAGCCCATGCAGTGCACACCTTGTCACTCCCCTGCCACATCCGAACAGACCACACACACAGCAGGCACTCACACCAGCAGTCTGCTCCAACCTCCCTCACACCCTGGGGGCTGCACATGCCACCCCTGCAGCAGATATGGGGGGTTGCACCGGCACAGAACCACCTGAATCCCATCACCACCCACCCAGGGGCCTCCACTCCCACACCCACACCCTCATCTCAGATGCACTTAAGCCAGTCAGCCAACCCCAGTGCCATGGTCCTGGTCACATCAGCCAGCATCAATCTCTGCCTTCTTTGGGAGGGGCTGGCAGGGAGGAGAGTTTGGGAGTGATGGACAGGCTGCGTCAGGTGGCCAGGTGGACTCAATATCCACTCAGCCCATGCTGGGTTCCAAGGGTCCCAATCCCTGTCTTCCACATGCAAGTATTGAGGGTGGGCATCCCCATGGGGTGGAGCACACAGCAGCTGCTAACCCCTGCTGTCCTGATTCTGGCCTCAGTTCTGGTCCCTGGGCAGCGGGTGTGACCACGTGATGGACGTTCTTGCCCGGTGCGAGCAGCTGACCCAGGAGAGGGGCGAGAGCAGGCATCCCCATGGGGTGGGGCACACAGCAGCTGCTAACCCCTGCTGTCCTGATTCTGGCCTCAGTTCTGGTCCCTGGGCAGCGGGCGTGACCACGTGATGGACGTTCTTGCCCGGTGCGAGCAGCTGACCCAGGAGAGGGGCGAGAGCCAGCGCCAGTCACCCTGGCACATCTACTTCCAGAAGGAGTTCTTCACCCCCTGGCATGACTCCCGGGAAGACCCTGTCAGCACCTACCTCATTTACTGCCAAGTCCTCCGTGGAGTCTGGTTCGGCGAGTACAGCTTCCAGAAGGTGAGGAGCCTGGGAAGGACCACATTCCAGGGCCAGCCTGGTCTGCAGCCACCAGGAAACACTCACAGAGAAGAGACCCAGCCAGGAACAGAGTGATGTAGAATGTGCAGGATGCAGAGGACAGAGGGAAGGTGGTTGCAGAGGTGCAGGTGCGGCTGTCCCTCCCAAGCCCTACTCCCTTGTCTCCTCCCTTGGGCCCCGGGCCTGTCTGGCCTCACCGCAGTAGCTCTGTTTATGGGGCAGCAGAGCCTCATGGTCAAGAACGTGGCCTTGGAACCCTAGTGCCTGAGTTCATGTCCCACTTCTACCTCCTCCTGGCATTGTAACCTTGGAAAGTTCTGCCACCTCTCTGAGCCTTGGGCCCTCATGTGGCATGTACAGAGTACTGAGAGCCCTTTTGTAGGTGAGATGTGAGAACTGAGGGTGAGCATGTACCTGGAGCTCTGGGAGCAGCAGGTGCAAACCTCCCTGTGCTGAGTCAGGAGGATGCAGTCCTGGAGGCCTGCCTGGAATGGGCATTGGCAGGGAGCAGCAGGGGCAGGGGGCTTTGTGAGGCTGTGGTCCCCCCGAGAGAATGGGCTGCTAGGATCCCGGCACGTGCCGTGCTGGTGCCTTGCACAGCATCCTGCCCAGCTGAGTCCTTGTAGAAGCCCTGAAGGGGTGGCCACTGGTCTCCCTTGACAAGTGAGGACAGAGCTAAGACAGGGGGGAGGCCTTGCCCACCTTCATCCTACTCAGAGCAGTAATGCTGGGGTTCCACCCAGGAACTCAGAGAGGAGTACCCCCTGTTCTCAGGCAGAGGGCCTGCAGGGCTTGGGCCAGGGCTGCCTGGGACTCCTGGCCTGCCACCAGGAGTGCATCCTGTGTGAGGCCCAGTCAGGGCATGTGCCGGTTCCCTTTGGAGATGGCAGGACAAGGTGGCTGCTTGCACTCCCAGGTCCTGCCTGAGCTGCTGGTCAGCTGCACTGTGCTGGGGCAGGGGAGGTGTCATGGGAGAGGGTGGGCTCTCATCACCCCCCCATGTGCCCCTGAAATGTGCAGGAGGAAGAGCTGGTGGAGCTGCTGGCCCAACACTGCTACGTGCAGCTGGGTGCCTCAGTGGGGAGTGAGGCTATCCAGGGGCTGCTGCCCAGCTGTGTCCCCCAGAAGCTGTACAGGACCAAGCCCCCAGAGAGATGGGCTAGCCTCATCACTGCTGCCCATGCCAAGGTCAGCCCTGAACTCTCCTCCATGGTGGTGGGGGCCCCAGGTGTGCAGAGGGGGTGGGTTCCCTCCACACAAGCCCTCACCCACTAGGGGAACAGGAAGCTTAAACTTGACTGTTGAGCATAGTCCTGTCTCCTCAAGTTTAAACAGTCTCATTCAGTTCAACTCTCTATCACAAGCCTGCGTCACCTTCCCTCCTCCTCTCAAGTAGGTATTTTGGGTGGTCCCTGTGCTGGTCTGTGCTGCAGCGTCTGGCTGGACTGTGACCTCTTGGTGTGAAGGAGTTCACAGCTGCTGACCGTAGACCACGCCATTGCCCCAGCATCAGTCCTGCCCCCAGGGGCACACTGTTCCCCAATAGGCACGTGGGAACCCCTGGATCAGAGTGTAGGGACGGTTTAGATGTTTGACACATATTGTGTATCATCAGCTGTGATGCATCGATTTACATTCCCAAAGCTGGTATTTGAACGTTGCCCAGCCACTTTTTAAAGCAGGAACAAGAGAAGTAACGTTTTACCCAACAGTGAAGAAAACGTTCAGTTGGGTATTACAGTCAGTTATGGACACAGGGACACAGCGCAGTGGGGACGGGAGAGGAGAGGCTGAAGGTGGGGAGGAGCAGAGAAAGGGGAGGAAGGAAACTTGAAGACAAGGAACTAGAGGGCATGGCTGAGATGGAGGTGCCTGAGAGAGGTCCCCAATACGCAGAAGGACCCCAGAGAAGAGAGAGGTGCTGAGCACAGAGACACGCAGCGAGACCAGACCCATGGGGCTGCGCGGGCAGGAGCAGCCGCCTCGCCGGCCCGCAGACACCAGACGCCGGCTTTGCATGCCCAGACGCGCCAGCAGTGCCCCTGGCGTCCCACTGCTGATGGGGAAAGGTCTTCCTCTCTTCTCAAAACCATGTCCCAAAGGGTCCTCCTCCTGGAGGGCACCATAGGGCTGTGTCAGCCCCCAGCATCCCCAGAGGATCGCTCGCTGGGCACTGACCTCACTTTAGGTAGAGGCTTCACATTGGCGGGATGATCCGCTGATTAATCACCCTGAGAGCTGGGTGAGGGGTCAGTAGGGGAGGAAGGATGATGGAGGTGACACCTGGTGTCTGTCCGCCTGCCCCCTCAGGCCCCATACACCCAGGCGCGAGTCCCGCCGCAGGCTGTGCGGGAGCAGGTGGTGGACGCTGCCCGCCTGCGGTGGCCGCTGCTCTTCTCCCGGCTCTTCCAAGTCACCACACTCTCCGGTAACAGCATCTGGCCGTGGGGGCAGGCGCAGGCTGGGCGTCCCTGGGCAGTGCAGCTTCACACTGCTGTCTCCTCTGGCCAGGCCCCCGCCTGCCCAAGGCACAGCTGATCTTAGCCATTAACTGGAAGGGGCTGTACTTCCTGAACCAGAAAGAGAAGATGCTGCTGGAACTCTCTTTCACAGAGGTCATGGGTCTGGCCACCAACAGGTAGGGGCCCTGAAGGAGGATGTCCCCAAATCTCTCTCCTTACAACCTGAGTCCTTGGGATCGATGCATCTGCGGGCTCAGGGACAGACAGGTAGAAGGGGTGGCATGCTGTACCATGGAGCTGGGCTGGGGTGGAGGGACAGCAGCCACCGGACTCAGGAGCCACCCTCTCTGCCAGGCCATGCTGCCCCACTAAGTGCTCCATTTGTGCATCGGGCATTGCCCCAGGAGCTTCTCTTTGAAACCCAGACCCGGCTGGACAGGGAAGACTGCCTGCAGTCTCCGTGGCCTGCATCCATTTGCAGGCTCTTTCTCTTCCCATGGGCAAGAATCGGCCACACAGAGAGAACAGAATGTCTCAGGGGGGAGCCAAAGACAGGTCCTGGTGGGCCGGGGTTGCCTTTCAGGCCAGGGCAGACCCCAATACTTCCACTCCGTGGCTCTCCAAGGCTCCCACCTACTGGGAACTCCTCCAGGCCATCATAATCATGACTGCGGGGCTGTGCCAGTGCACACTGGCCACCACTCACCAAGGCTGACTCTGCTGGGCACTTTCCTGGATTCCATGAAGTGCTCACAGCATTCTGCATGCTGCAGATGAATAAAATGAGGCACACAGGCCTGTTTTGTCGCTGCACACCAGCCACTTTATCACTGCCCAGAGCTAACCCCACACTGGGTGCTGGCACCCCCACTGCCTCTGAGGCCCAAGGGGCTCCAAGCTCTGGCCGCCACTCACTCACCATCCACAGTGGAGCCCAAGATGTGGGCCAACCTGGGCTCAGACCCCGGCCCTGCCATGGCCCTGGATGAGCCACTCTGTTTCCTTGTCTGTGGCTCAGGAGAGTCCCCACTCTAAGGCTGCAGAGGGGCTGAAGTGGGGACAGGGAGGAGGAGGGCTGGGGTCACACTGTACCCTCCATCCCCTCAGGGAGGCCCGAGGTGGGCACCGGCTGCTGCTGTCCTTGCTGCACGAAGAGTATGAGTTCGTGTCCCCCAGCGTCGTGGCCATTGCCGAGCTGGTGGCCCTGTTTCTGGAGGGCCTGAAGGAGAGGTCCGTGTTTGCCATGGCCCTGGAGGACAAGAAGGCCACAGGTACCCAGCCAGGAGCAAGAGGCCGGCGGGGGGGTGGCTTGCGCATCCCCACATCACAGCAGCTATGCTGCACGGAGCAGGACTCAGGGACACCAGTAGAGGGAGAGAGGGAGGGTCACAAAGCTGGCAGGGGGCGGCTTTGGGCAAGGCCGTGCTCCCTCAGGAAACTCTTCTACAAAATAAGGGGACTGCAGGACGTGGTCTCAAACCCTCAAGGCAAGCCTTGCTCAGGACTTCACTGCTGCAGAAGAACCTGGAAGGGCTGACACCCCCCAGCCCCCAGCCAGTGGAGTTTGAGCACCGTCCCCATAGCCACCCAATTACCCCATTTTACAGACACGGAAGCGGAGGCTCAGAGAGGGAATTAGCTCACCCAGGGTCACAGGTCACAGCGCGCAGAGGGCGGGAGCTAGTTCTCAGCCGCAGCCTCCCTGCAAGTGACCACTCTAGCAGGGTTGAGCTGTGGGCTGTGGGGGTCATGACCGAGCCCCAGGACCTCCACCTGGCACAGCTGATTGGGAAGACATGCTGGGCTGGGCGTTCATGGGCCATGCAGTGGCGTGGTTGGTGCAGGGGCTTCAGAAGCGGGGAGGGGAGGTTCCCTGAGATGCAGAGGAAGGGCCTGTGCATGGGGTATCACGATGGTGAGGAACATCAGCCTGGGATGTGTTACCCTGTCGCCCATCAGTCCTCCAGCCACCCCAGCGTGGAGGGATGATTATTATCTCCATTTTACCGACGGGAAAACGTGCTCGGAGAGGTCATGCAGTGCTCAGGCCAGGCTCTGAAGGCCCTGGCTCCCAGTCAGCCTCAGCAGGTCTCCCAGGGCTGGGGCCAAGGTCAGAGCTCTGGAGCCCCTGCCCGCCTGGGCTGTGTGCCTGTGCAGGTGCAGCACGTGGCAGCCCTCTGGGCCCCCGAGGTTCCTGTCCCACCACCACTCACTCTCCTAGTGGCCTCTCACCCACCACTCCATGCCTCAGTTTCCTCATCTGTCAATGGAGACAGCCCAGGAAATGCCAGCACAACCTTTGGCCCTATAGATCCCTCAGCAAATGACTTTTTTGTCCCTGTGTGTGTGACCTGGACTTGCAGATGATGCCACCCTCCTGCCTTTCAAGAAGGGGGACTTGTTGATCCTGACGAAGAAGCAGGGGCTATTAGCCTCTGAGAACTGGACGCAGGGCCAGAACGACAGGACGGGCAGGACAGGGCTGGTGCACATGGCCTGCCTCTACACCATCCCCACAGTCATCAAGCCCTCGGCGCAGCTACTGGTAACTTGAACGCTCCCCTCTTCTCAGCCCAGGCACCCACAGGCACAAGCGAAGCAGCCCCAGGTCACCCAGCCTGGGCCCCTAGGCCAGGAGGGCCACCTGCGCATCAGGTCAGCTCTGCCAGGCCCCATTGTCCCTGTGGGGTGACTGTGTAGTGCCCAGCTTGGCTTTTAGTAGGTGATCAATAAATGGGTGTGTCCTGAGAATAAACCCAATGTCATCATGGGCTGCCTCATTTAAACCTGACCCAGAGCTGGCCCCTGAGGTTCCCGTCCCACCACCACCACTCACTCTCTGCACCCACCACTCTGCCTTGGTTTCCTCATCTGTCAAAGGACACAACCAGGAAATGCCAGCACAGCCTTTGGATAGAGCATGGTGCTGGAAACACCAAGGGCCAGGGTTCAATCCCTGTACCGGACAACATAAAAACAAATAAATAAATAAATAAACCCTGAACCAAGGGGCCCAAGTCTCCCTCCCCACGAGAACCACCCCAGTCCCCAAGAGCAGCTTCACAGGGAGGCAGGGATGGCAGGCATTCAACACACACGCACTGAGTGCCGAGCATGCCCTGTGCCTGCAACACAGAGGACACAACAGCGGCTCTACCTGCAGGGAGCATGCAGGTATTTGGGTAAATAATGACAAAGTGATGGTAAGTGTGCCAAGTGCCACCAAGAATAAGCACTGGTTGTCATGGAGACTTGTAATAGGGTGGGGCTCGCCCTGTGTGGGAAGGCATCCCTGATGGAGTGACGTTTGTGCTGGGCCTGAAGCTATTGGGGACCAGGCAGGGTTAGGCCGAGGGGTGAGCATCCCTGAGGGAGTGACGTTTGTGCTGGGCCTGAAGCTATTGGGGACCAGGCAGGGTTAGGCCGAGGGGTGCCCCTGAGGAGAGGCAGCCTGGAAGGTCTGAGAAGCCCAAGGTGACTGAGCCCCAGAGCAGGTGGTCCTGGCTTCATAGACAGTGGTGCTAATCCTCCTGAGGGAAAGGAAACCGGCTCAGAGAGGTTTAGCCACCAGTTCTGGGTCACACAGCAGGTGTCCAGCCCTGCGGTCTGACCCCTCCCAAGTCACTGAGGCACCCAGGCCAGGAGGAGCAATGGGAAGGGCTTTTGGGCGGTGCTCCTGGGTGCCTACAGGCCTGTGTCCACTGCAGAGCTTGCTGGCCATGTCACCAGAGAAGCGGAAGCTGGCAGCCCAGGAGGGGCGGCCCGCAGAGCCACTGCCTGAGGAGCAGCCCAAGGAGAAGCTGCACACCCTGGAGGAGTTCTCCTACAAGTTCTTCAGGTGCCCACCCCCTGCACCCCTGAGGGCTGCGTGGAGGTCAAAGGGGCGATGCAGAGCCTGCCGGGCCTCCCCAGGGCAGGGGAAGCCAGGAGGGGCTTGTGGCAAGGAGGGGACCCCCTGACCATTCCACAACCACCCTGGGAGGTCAAACAGGAGAAGCATGGGGCAGAGAAGACCACAGGCAGTTTCTCATGCTGGCTTCTGCCCCTGACAGGGCCCCAGAGAAGGAGACAGTCAGCAGAGCCATGCTCTCCCTGGCTCGCACCCGGGGCCACCTGTGGGCCTACTCTGCTGAACCACTGCGGCAGCCGCTGCTCAAGCGTGTCCATGCCAACGCTGAGCTGCGGGACATCGCCTGCCACATCTTCCTCGATATCCTTCCCCAGCCAGCCCACCCCCGCTGCATACCAGCCTCACGGGCACAGGCACCGCAGTCCCCTCCCAGCCCCACAGCTGCCCCATGAGTGGGGCTGGGCCTTACCTCACTGAGCACAGGGCAGAACTGACACACAGCTCACTGCAGGGCTGGTCAGGGGTCAGTGTGGGGCTGGGGCCAGGGGTCAGTGTCTATCCCTGGTCAGGGATCAGCGTGGGACCACCTCCAGCACTGTTCTCCTTGACGGCTGCACCCATCCTCAGGTACATGGGCGACTACCCTTCTCGTCAGGCCTGGCCCACCCTGGAGCTCACCGACCAGATCTTCTCGTTGGCCCTGCAGGACTCAGCCCTGCAGGACGAGGTCTACTGCCAGATCCTGAAGCAGCTGACACACAACTCCAACAGGTGTGCCAGGGACAGCAGGGTGGAGGGCACTGGCCCCTCAGTCCCCGTCCCAACCTCCCAGGTTGGGCCCAATGCTCAGAGTGGAAGTGGCAGCTGGTGGCAGCTGAACACAAGGCCGGCACCTGCGGCAGCAGTGGGAAGCGCTGGGCCCCCGGCTACTCTGCTGACCTCCTGGGGCAGTCAGAGCAGGGCGGAATGGTCCTGCCCTGGGACCTGCCCACCTCCACCCTCTTTGTGTGACCTGAGTGGGCCATGGCCTCTCTGAACCTCAGTGTCCTCCTACACAAAATGGGCGCAGTGGGGCCCTCCTCTTCTCGAGGGTGGGAAAGCCCTGTGGCACCAGACAGCCGGTGGTTGGCTGGCATGATGTGGCCTTGCTAGTGCCCACTGCACCCTCCCCTGGGTCCCCCAGACCCCAGGCTCAGGCAGGTCTCATGTCCCTGCTCCCTGAGCTGCCTGTCTGGCTGACAGGAACCACCCTCCAGGTACAGCGAGGAGCGAGGCTGGCAACTGCTGTTTCTCTGCACGGGCCTCTTTCCTCCTGGCAAGGCGCTGCTGCCCCACGCCCAGAAGTTCATAGACACTCGGAGGAAGAAGCTGCTGGCCCCAGACTGCAGCCGCCGCATCCAGAGGGTCCTGAGGTGAGCCCTGAGCCAGCAGAGCCCGGGTGCTGAGAGGCCCAGCCCAGAGTGGCTGAGGTCAGAGGCCTAGCCCTCCCACCCCGTGTGCCCTCTCCCTCATCCCTGCCACGGTCAGGGAATCCTTCCTTAGCTGTCTTCTCCTCCATGCCTCCTGCCTCCTCTGTGGCCGTGGGGAGGGTGTTCGGCCATGAGTGGCCAGGATTTTCATGGCTGCCATTGTAGGCACCCTCGTGGTGGGCACCCTCAGAGTGGGCAACCTCAGAGAGATGCTGTTGGAATCCCCAGCCCCGCCCCCCAGTGCCCCGCCACCCCATGCCCTGCCCCCCAGTGCCTTGCCCAGGTGCCACTGGCCCCCTCCCCATGTGTGTCCCAGCCTACCAGGGCCTGCTCAGGACTGGGGTCATCTGGGAGGAGAGACCAGGCCTGCCTCTGCCATCACCTCCTCTGGGGCCATGTGCTGAGCCCGCCAGGCAGGGTCAGCCCCCTGGGAAGTGCAAGGGTTGGAGCCCCAGCAGTAATCACTGGGGTTATGTTTTGTTTTGTCTCTGGCACGTAGTTTACGGCCCACGTGGAGGCTGGGGGAGTAGGGGCGGGGTGGCATCTGCAGCAAGTGCTGTCCTGTTCAGGGCGGGGCCCCGGAAGCAGCCCCCACACCAGGTGGAGGTGGAGGCCGCCGAGCAAAATGTGTCCCACATCTGTCACAAGATCTACTTCCCCAATGACACCAACGAGGTGAGTCCCCAACCCTTGGCCCACAGCAAGTCTCAGGCCTCGGGAAACTGCAAGGCACACTCTCCATCAGCCCAAAGAGCTCCTGGTCACCCAAGGGTTTCGAGGGGACATCTCACCTTCACCACTCTCCTACTTCCCCTGCCCCACCCCCCATCTCCCCCTGGTGCACAGGCCCCTCCCGCCCTTGCTGCAGAGGTGGTGCTGCCCGCAAGGGGAACAGAGGGGTAGCAGGGAGGAGTGGGGGGAAGCGGCAGGTGCAGTTGGAAGTCGGGACTGTCCCAAGGTGCGGGTTGAGGACTCCAGACCAAGGACACAGGAGGAAAGCCAGAAGGGTGGGTAGCAAGGTTGATTCCCCAGGCTTGGGGGCCCCTAGGGGATTCTGACCATCCTGTGGCATGGCGAGCAGCTGCCACCATTGGGTGTGCCTTGTGGACAGAGCCCGCCATGGCTGCTGGGGAGGGTAGAGGGGACCTAGCCATGAGGGTGAGGCCCTCAGCAAGAGGCAGCCAAGGAGAGAGGAGCTGAGGAGGTTGAGGTGGTTGATGCCACCCTCACAGCCTCCCCAGTGCCGTGTAAGTCTTTATAACAGAAAGTCCCCACCATCTGGCTGCAGGGCACAAAGCAAGTTCGAAAGGCAGGGCCTCCTGGGTCCCAAGACAGCGAATGCTGTGACTGAGCAGCATAAACTCAGGGTCAGTGTTCTGCAGGGGAGGCCTGCCCTGCTCAGGACGGAGCACAGCCCAGGCTTTATGAGGGACCAAAAGCGCCAGGCAACGAAGGGCCGTTCCAGGCTGTGCTTTGGGAATGTGTGGCCCCAGGCCAGGCTCTGGGCCTCACTGCCACCTCTCTGCCCAGATGCTGGAGGTGGGCGCCAATACCCGGGTGCGGGACATGTGCGACAGCATTGCCACCAGGCTGCAGCTGGCCTCCTGGGAGGGCTGCAGCCTCTTCATCAAGATCACAGACAAGGTGCACCATCCTGGCAGCTGGGACAGGGAGGATGGCAAGCGGGGGTCCCCTGTGTGAGGCGCTCTCCTGACAACTGAGAGGACCGCAGCCTGCCCAGCATGCCTGTGTGGGCTGGCTTGGGCTTGAGTCGGACAAACGTTGCGGGGGTGGGTCTCAGAGCCAGAGCCCTCGCCCCACACACCCAGGGTGGCCCGCAGGCAGCTGCCTCCAGCTGAACCTGAGCAGGCCCTGAGCGAGCCCGCAACAGTGCGGCACCAGCCCGCCAGGCCATAGAAAGCCACTGGACCCAAGGACGCTCCCCTAGAAGCTGCTCCTCCTGCCTGCAGCCCTTACCTTTCCCACCCAGGTCATCAGCCAGAAGGAGGGAGACTTCTTCTTTGACTCCTTAAGGCAGGTGTCTGACTGGGTCAAGAAGAACAAGCCCCAGAAAGAAGGTGAGGGTCTCTGTGGAGCAGGGGGTGGGGGAAGGAGGGTGTGGCTGGGATGGAGGGGCAGGGGCAGGACCATCTGCCTCCCTGGGCAGGTTGCCTCCTGCATTGTCCCAGGCCCATTCATTCATTACCTTGTGTGTCCTGTATGATCCTGGGCACAGCCCATGGTGAGGCCAGATGGTTAGGCCCTGCCCTGGGGACACTCCCAGCTTGGCAGGGGCAGGGCATGGGGACAGGCCCAGAACAGGCCCAGAACAGATGGCTGTACTGCAAGGTGATAAAGGATGAACAGGAGCTGAGGGGATCTGACCCCCACAGGGAGGTCCAGAAACATTTCTGGAGCAGGTGGTCCCCACCCTAGTCTTGGAGGATAAGGAAGAGTTGGGGCCGGTGAGGCAGAGGGGTGGAGATTTCCAGGTGGAGGAGCAGGGGGGTGTGCTGCAAGCAGTGCCTTGGGCACGGTGGGGGCTTGGCCCAGCAGAACCTGCTGGGGAGGTTTGGTGCCCACTGCCACCTCTCGCCCAGGGGTCCCTGTGACGCTCCCCTACCAGGTGTACTTCATGCGGAAGCTGTGGCTCAACGTGGTCCCAGGGAAGGATGCCAATGCAGACAGCATACTCCATTACCATCAGGTACCCAGACAGGCCCCCTCCTGGTGGGCATGGGTCTCCCCCTTGCCATGTCACAGCTGCCCTGAGACGTGGAGGAAGCAGCAGGCCGTGGCAGCCCACACCCGGCCCAGGCTCCAACCATGGGGTCCTATGTGGTGGGCAGGCTGCCAGGGGAGGGAGGGGACAAAGGGTCCTGCAGCCTATGGAGCACTGGCCCGTGCCCAACTACATGGGGGTAGAGTAGGCCACTGCCTGCACAATAAGACATCAGGGAGCCCTGCCTGGATTGGGGTTCATTGCACAGGCCAGAGACTACCTGAGGGCCTCAGCTTCAGCCTTTTTAGTCTCTCCGGGATGAGGGTGGGCTAACCCCTCAGGCCACAGCCACCTGAGCACGAAAAATGAGGTTGGGTGGGTGGGCTGACATCCTGAAACCCAGCATGTCCACCACCCAGGAGCTACCCAAGTACCTGCGTGGATTCCACAAGTGCTCACGGGAGGACGCCATCCACCTGGCGGGCCTCATCTACAAGGCCCAGTTTGACAATGACCGTTCCCAGCTGGCTAGTGTCCCCAAGATCTTGAGGGAGCTGGTGCCCAAGAACCTCACATGTCTGATGTCCTCAGAGGAATGGAAAAAGGTCCTCAACAGGGCTGGGGAGGGGGCCCTTGGGTCACTGCCCCTCCGAGGGCCCCACCTGGGCACAGTGAGCCAGTTGCTGGGCATGGAGGGTGGGTTGGGTCTGTTCAGACTATGCCTATCAAGGGCCCCACCTAGGCACAGTGAGCCAGTTGCTGGGCATGGAGGGTGGGTTGGGTCTGTTCAGACTATGCCTATCCCCATGCTGTCCCCAATGCTGCTGAGACTTTCTCCCCCCACCTCACTGGCCCTCTCCTTCCCCCAGAGCATCCTCTTGGCCTATGACAAGCATAGGGACAAGACGGTAGAGGAGGCCAAGGTGGCCTTCCTTAAGTGGATCTGCCGGTGGCCCACCTTCGGGTCTGCCTTCTTTGAGGTGAAGGTAGGCCTTGCCCAAGCGGGCCCCACTCAGCCCTGGCCCCAGCAGTCTTGAGCTTCTCCCCAAACATGCATCTCAGGGTGGGGCTGGCTGTCAGGTGTAGAAGGAGTGTGTGTCTGTGTACGGATGTGTACACGTGTGTACGTGCGTGTGTCTCAGGTGAGCTCCTAGACAGTGGCCACCTGGTGACCACTGTGCCCCTGTCTCCCCAGCAAACCTCAGAGCCCTCCTATCCAGACGTCGTCCTCATCGCCATCAACCGACATGGGTTTCTGCTCATCCACCCCCAGACCAAGGTAGTGGCAGGGCTGGGGGACTCACCAGGGTCCTGCGACCCTGTGCAAACAGGCCAGTGGTCACCTGCTCTGGTGTGTCATGCGCACCCTCCTGTCCCCTGACACAGACACACACACAAAACCCCTGGGACCCAAAGGCCCCTAGTCCTGCCCAGCTTCAGCTTGCCATGCCCACCTTGCCCCTCTGTCCTCAGGAGCTGCTCACCACCTACCCCTTCACCAGGATTTCCAGCTGGAGCAGTGGCAGCACCTACTTCCACATGGTGCTGGGCAGCCTGGGCCGGGGCAGCCGCTTGCTGTGTGAGACCTCTCTGGTGAGCCCAGGTCCCTTCCCCCAGCCCAGACACTCCGGGCAGACAGGTGCTGGACACTGGGTTTCCCACCCTCGCTCCTTGCTGCCATGGGCGAGTTGTCACTCTGAGGGCTCAGCCGCCCAGGCCCAGGCTGGGTCAGCAGAGGCCTGCCGGGAGGCTTGCTGCATCCGCCAGGGCCAGCAGCCAGCAATGTGGTGGCAAGGCCTGGTGCAAGGCTCCCTGCGGTCCTGGCCTTCCTGAAGAGGGAAGGAGACTCAGCTGGCAGGGAGCCAGAAAAGGCAGCCCCAGCAGCGAGAGCCCCGCCCACCTCACCACGCCCCGCCCAGTTGTGGGTGCAGAGTTGAATGCCTTCAGGGGTGTCTGAGTCTGAGACCCCCACCCGCCCTCCCTGCGCCCACAGCCTCTGACCCCACCCTGTTCCTGGTCCAGGGCTACAAGATGGACGACCTACTGACTTCCTATGTGCAGCAGCTCCTGAGTGCCATGAACAAGCAGCGGGGCTCCCAGGCCCCAGCCTTGGCCCACCCCTAGCGGCAGATGCCAGCTTGCCCACTCACCCTTCCCAATCTAGGGTCCCGGTGGCTTCCCTGGAGTCCCTCCCCACGTGGCCCAGGGGCTGCCCTCTGCAGACAGCCTTCCATGCTGCCCTCCCCCCAAGTCCCCGCACTCCCCTCGGCACCACAGATGACCCCCTCTCTCCTGGGCTCTGACCACAGAGGCCAAAGGAGGGGCCTGGGGCAGGGCTGGGAGCCTCGGGCCTCGGGCCTCGGGCCTCCAGGCTGGCAGTGGATGGCTGAGAGGAGCTCCCCCACCCAGAATGTTCAGTAAAATTTCGTGGAGCAGCAAGTGAGCGTGTCCCTGAGGGAACAGGGTGGGGGCGCCCGGTAGGCAGGAGGCCTGAGAGGCACTGGCTGCAGAGAGCCCCTTCCATAAAAAGCAGAACACATAGTGACTTCTCCAGGGAAAGCCGGATGACCAACGCATTCTCCAGGAATGACTTCACACCCCATGTCGCCTCCCTCCCTTCCTTCCTCTCCCTTCCTCCTCCTCATACTTTCTCATACTGGGGAGCTCCTGCTTCAAGGCCCCTCTGCAAACCTTCTCTCCTTCCCCACGGGGCACTGCAGGAGCGGGCTACTCCCAGGAGGGCCAGGGTGCGGGTGCCGCTCTCTGGCCGCTGGCTTCCTACTAAAGCCAGCCTGTCCCTGGGCAGTGGGCAGAGCCGGACACCGGACCTTGGAGGCCTGGGTTCCCCCTGGCCTTGCCATCAGGCCCTGTCCGAGCCCATCCCCCTCTGCCCAGACTGGCCTTATATCCAAACCCTGATGGCAGCCTGGCCTGAGACAGGGCTGGGTCCCACCTGAACCCTTTCACCTGCCTGTCTGGTGTCTGTCTCTGCATATGATAATGCCAGCAGCAGTGTGTCCACACAGACTGCTGTACCACTCCCGCACCCCTGCCACCACAAACCACACAGGCCCTTGTGTTTGTGTGTATAAGCCTTCATTGTGCAAGCATAAGCCCCAATGCCAGGTCTGCGCTGGCCATGGAGGAAGTGTCCTCCCTGGACAAGGTGAGGATGAGCCACCCGACCCCACTGCCCCCTGCTCCCTGGCCATGCCCAGAGGCTGGATGCAGGCCCTGCAGCAGGGGAGAGGGAACCGCAGTGGGCTAGGGTCGGGCAGCCAAGGCAGGACTTTAGGAAGGCCTAGTGAGTGACAGGGGGAGTGGGGTCCTGGCTGCTCCAGCCAGTTCATGGTGGGAGAGCAGGACTTGCTGGCCCAGTTTGGGCACAGCGATCTTGGTTGAGTGAGTGGCTAGGGATTGAAGAGTGGCTCCCATAGGCCTCTGACTGTGTGGTGCTGGCCATGGGCATCTCAGGTGTCACATGCATACAGTGGGACCACTGTGGGGTGGAGGCTCCCACGGGAGAGTGTGCCATCAGGCCCCTCTGGGGAGGGACAGGTCAGGACAGGCCAGGTTGGGACTGTTGTCCACACAGGGGTGGGGGACCCCAGGCCCTGATTTGCTCCTGTCCCTGGAGGACTGTGGGCTGAAGCTGTGGGCACAGGTGGACGTGGCTGTCAGGCCCCTGCCTCTGTCCCCTGCCCCTGCATAGAAGGAAGAAAAAGAGAGGCTCCGGGACAAAGGAGAGCAGGGACACAGAAAGAGGAAATGATGAGCAGACAGAGGGGAGGGATCTGCGGTGGAAAAGAGGACACGAGGCCTCAGAGAGCAGAAGCAGAGTGGGAGGTGACAGAGAGGGAAGCCAGCAGAGGGGCAGAGGCGAGGCCCTGGGAGAGGGAGGAGGGAGAGCTGTGCGGGCGGGACGGCCGTCAGGCGGAGTTGAGGTCCACAGCCTTGGGCTGGGCCTTGCGGGAGGTCAGCTCTGACAGCTTCTTCAGCCGCTTCTTCAGCTCCAGCGGGAACCTCTCGTAGCACTTCTTACACACGGGCTTCATGTCGAACTCCACAAACTTGTTCCTGGGCACAGGCCCAGCCATCAGGAGAGTCCCCCTGCCAGCTCTGGCCCCCGACAGGTGACGGGGAGGCAGAGGAGCCGTCTTCCCTCAGCCCCCCGCCCACAGGCCCCGGTGGGCATCTGGCATGGTGGATGAGCAGATGGGCCTCGAGGCCTCCCTTCCCTCCTAAAGGCTTCTCTTGGGCTTCTGGCACCCCAAGAGAGAGGCTCCCTGCCGCCCTCAGACCCGGGCCCCGTCTCTCCTCCCACAGCTCCAGCCATCCCACGCCCCTTCGGGCCTGTCTGCCTCCTTCGCATATGCTGTCCCCTGGGCGCAATGCCCTTCCATCCCCTCGAGGGTGTGTGACTCCTCCTCTCACCATGCCCTGGGGTTCCTAGATGTGCCCCCATCTCCCTGGGCTGCCCCTTCCCCCCACTGCATCCCCAGGGCCTGACTGTGGTAGGCGTGTGGGGAGGACTGATGGCGGGAATGACCCATGGACGCCCACGCACCCGCGGGCCTCACACATGCCCCGTGGCAGGGGCGACTTACTTCAGGGTGAGCTTGCTGTTGCAGGTGGAGCAGGAGAAGCAGCTCACACACCAGGCCTTGTTGAGGGCCGACACCACTGTGAGGGCAGAGCGGGAGCTCAGCAGGCCCCACCCAGGCCCCACCCAGGCCCCGTGGGGCAAAGCCAGGAACCCTGGGGAGAGAGAGCGGGTGGGCGCAGGGTGGGGGCCTCACCGTCACCCTCTATGACGCGGCTGCAGGTGTAGCAGACGTCCCCAAAGAGCTGTGGACCAAGCAGGCTGTCAGTCACGGCCCAGCCCAGGGTCAGAGAGCAGCCCGGCCCAGCCCTCCCCCACGTGGCCACTCCCAGGCATCTTTCTGCCCTTCCTGCCAGGCACAGCCTCAGGTGTCAGGTGAGGGCACCTCTGCCCACTAGAATCACCCCAGGAAGGGAAACAGGCTGAGCACTGCTCCCCAAAAGGCCTCTTTGCTCCTGCTGGTGTCCCACCCCATCATCCTCTGTCTTCTGTTCCAGAGCGGCAGTTGGGAGGAGGGTGCTGGCAATGTCACCCTCCGCACCCAGGACCTCACATCATCATTTCATTCAGTCCTCACAATAGGCTTGGGCCACCATGGCACATTTTCCAAATGAGGACACAGACCTGGCGTGCAGGCTGCCTGCACGCAGCCCCTCCTGCTCACCCAGCAGCTCCCAGGTCCCCCTGCCGCCCTTCCTGACCTGTGTCCTTTCAGGCTCCGCTCTCGCCTCACCTGGTTGTAGTGGGTCTCACAGTAGGCCAGGCCCTTCTTCTCATAGTGCCGGTGCCCCAGGAATGGCTTCTCACACTTGGCACAGACAAAATGCTAGGAGGAGAGAGGGCAGGCCAGGGCAGCATCAGGGCAGGAGCGATAACCCCAGGATACATCAGTCACCCCAGGAGACAGGAAACAGGCCAGGCAAGGCAGAGGCCTTGCAGGGCTCACAGCTGGGCAGAGGGGCTGACACCTCCATGAAGGGGACTCTGCTCCTCTTCTAACACACCCACAGTGACATCTTAATGCCATCATCCTCTCCTGGCCTGGTCTCCCACTCAGCAACCTTAACCTGAGGGATCAGGTGCCAGCCAGGTGCTGCAGAGGGTTCTCACAGGTGGAAGGGACCTGCTTAGCAGGGTGCCTCCTGTGGCCTCCCCTCGAGCTCGAGGTCACTGGGAAGCACCTTCCTGTTGCAAGAGGACGCAGCATGTGAGGACACACCCTCCCCAGGGGCTGGGAGCCAGGGCCTGCACCAGGGCAGGATGGCTGTGGCCTCTTGCCGGATCTTCTCAAACAGGTCACCCAGGCACAGCTTCAGGACACAGGGCTGGCCAGGTTGTCGGAGGACACAAACCTCCTTTCCAAATGTGTCTCTGAGAACATTAGAGTCCTCAGTCCAGGGGTGAGGGGTGCCCAGGTACACACACCTGAGCAGCTCACCAACTCTGTGTCCACACGGGCTGTACACACAGCCAGTTCTGTCAACCACAATCCCAAGGGGAGCCCAGGGCAGACTGTCCCCAAGATTTTCTCCTGACTTTGGAATCCTCTAGAATGCCAGGAGGGGATTTACCATGAAAGTGACCATGGCTTTCAGGCTCAGGTCTCCTGGCTGCGTGGACAGGCTGGGGTCCTGGCTGAGTACAAGGAGGGACAGCACCCAAGAGGAAGGTCCTCGCCAGGAGTACCATGAAAGTGACCATGGCTTTCAGGCTCAGGTCTCCTGGCTGCGTGGACGGGCTGGGGTCCTGGCTGAGTACAAGGAGGGACAGCACCCAAGAGGAAGGTCCTCGCCAGGAGCCAGCAGCAGCCTGGGCTGGAGTGGGGAGGGGCTGCAGGGCCAGCCTCTGACCGTGGCCAAGAGCCAGGGCACCCGCACCTGAGGCCACGCGCCTGCCGGCCTGGCTCACCTCCACATGCCACTGCTTGCCCAGCGCATTGACCACGCGGCCCTCGATGGGTCGGCGGCAGGCCCCGCAGATGGGGACGCCCATCTTGTCGTGGCAGGGCAAGCAGTAGAGCTCACCCTTCAGTTCACGAGCCTCGGCAGTCAGCTCCTTCCTGGAAGACAGTGCAGAGCCCCCAGGTTGGTCCCAGCCCTTCTGCAGAGCGCCAAGGCGGATGGCTCTCTCTGATCTCTGGTCTCTTTGGAGACTCCTGTGTGTGCCCCAGACGGGCCCTGGAGCACAGAATTCCTGCACAGGCCCAGCAGAAGGGCGGCCTGTGTTCTGCACCGCCTGGCCCTCTGAGAAGCAGGTCTGTTCTCAGGCCCCCCTCCTCCTCCAAATCAGACTGGGTGTCTGGGACAGAACAGAGGGGGCCTGGAGGGCTGGCTCTGCAGCGTCTCTCCTCTCCTCCTCTGTCTCCAACACCAGCACCAACCCCACTCTGGGAGCCACCACATCTCACCCTCACTCTCTACGCCTCTGGTCCCTTTCTCCCTGCTCTGTCTCAACCATCACCCCCCACCCCTGACCCCAAGCCTTAAATGCCCTGAACAGAGCCCGGGAGAGCAGAGCTTCCTGCTGAAGTCAGTCTTGGCCCCCATTCCACCTCCAACCTGCAGCCCTGCAGCCCCCTCTCCACCCCTCTGCCCACCTGGCTCACCTCTCCTGCCTCATCACTGCCTGGGGTGGGGGACTCATTGCCCCTCTGTGACAGCCCTGGCTCCTTGCCTGCCCCCATCACAGGGACCAGGCCGTGACCTACCCACAATGGGTGCAGCTGAAGTGGTCCGGGTGGTAGGCGTCATTCCTGAACATGAGGGGCTGCTCATCAATGACCAGGTGGCACCGCTGACAGATGTACTTGCCCAGGCCCTTGGCCTTCTCACGGTTGTGGCAAGGCCGGCAGAGGTGCCTGTGCAAAGCAACAGAGGCGTCAGGGGCCGACGCCCCCTCCAGCTCCTCCTCCCTAGACAGCCCGGCCACCTCCAGAAGAGAGCTCTGGACCCCCACCTGTGGCTTTGAGAGTGCCTGGGTGCTACAAAGGGGTCTGCCCAGGGGCACACAGCAGCAAGCTGCCCAGTCGTGGCCTAGAAGGCCACAGTCCTGCCCTCTAAAAGGAACCAGTGCTCAGGAAAAAGACTAGACAAAATACAGTTGAATGTTCGTGTTTGCTGTTTTGGGTGGTATTTTCCTTCTTTCCACTTTTTCTGAGCCTAGGACATTGTGTGGAATAGAGCAGACATTTAATTAATAGTGAAAAATTAGTTTTATTTTTAAAATGTCTTTTAACACACACAAATTACAGTGAATGTTAGCCTTAAAAACCCACTGTGCCCAACAGAGTGGCCAGTGACTGCCAGGACAGGGAGGCCTGCTCATCCCATTCCTTTGGGGTCCACCAGATGAAGAGGAGCCCAAACACGTACAGGCACTTTCTGTCTCCAAAAACAAGCATGGCTGTGTCAGACAGAGGTCCTCAAACCCAGGAACTGTCATTACAGAGTCTTTTCTGTAAAGACCTTAAAGTGATTTCTGATGCTACTCCCTGTGTTGGGCAACAGCTGTGGCCTTAACAGAGCAAGGAATCAACATGGTTTCTGTTCTTCAGACCTCAAAGGTGGCAAGAATTTAGATCCAGGATCCAAAGACGCACAAAGGCCCCTATCTATCACCCATCGCTCCCCATTCCCCACCTGCCAGCCCAATCCAAATGTGCTCTCGATGCGTTTCTGTTCTTCAGACCTCAAAGGTGGCAAGAATTTAGATCCAGGATCCAAAGACGCACAAAGGCCCCCATCTATCACCCATCGCTCCCCATTCCCCACCTGCCAGCCCAATCCAAATGTGCTCTCGATGCACCCAGGCCCCCTTCTCTGGCCCCGTCCACAGGGAAGCCCCTGCACCCCTCCCTGGCCTCCATGGAGACCTGACACCCAGTACTGGCCCCTTCCACAGTCCAGTCAGGAAGTCTCCTTAAGAGATTAACTCTCAGACTCTCAAGATCCCCCAACCGGATTGCAGGAGGCAGATCCCAGATACCAGGGCAGACAACTCAGTGTGCCTGCCCTGACCCCAATCCCTGCTACCCCAGTTTCGGTCTGGACTCCACCCCGCACAGCACAGCTCTCTGCTTGCCCTGGGTGTCTATCTTCCCAGCTGTGTGCAGGGCAAGGAGCCCGGGCCAGGTGCCCAGTAGCCACTGGCTGAGTTGCTGAATAGCTTCCAGCTGTGCCTCCACCAGATCCTACATGCCCAGCACAGGACCAGTTTGTTGAAGACGTGAGTGAATGAATGACTGTGCAAGAGAGGAAGGGGGACAACGTGGCCAGGCCCAGACTAGAAGCCAGTCTCCCGGTCCGGGACCCCTGGCCCCCTCTACCTACACAGTGGGCAGCAGATGCGGCCTGTGGCTGCAGTCTTCATCACCATGGTGCCCGAAGCCCACCCTCACCCAGACCCCTGTCCCCTGACCCCCTCCCAGGCCACCTCTACAGCAGGCCCAGGGCTGAGCCACCCCACCCAGCCACCCACTGTGGCTAACCCATTCCCCCAACCTGTGTCTCAGTCACGGTCACAGCATTTATTTCCCATAACCCACTCCCAATTTTGGTGACCACTCCTTAGCTTAAGGATAACATTCAACCCATATGGAATAACTTCTGTTTCAAAGCTACAAAAAGTAGCTCAACTCCCCAAAATTCTATTGCAACAGTCAGTGCCCTTGAAGATACCATCAGTGATCACCCTGGTAACAGGCTTGTGAGCCCAGAAATGCCCCGCTCAGGACAGCCACTTTCAAACACTCATGTTTCCAGTCAGTGTAAGCCAGTCCTTCCCAACAGCCCCTCACGGGGCACAGCAGGAGAGGGAGCCAGGCCCGGGCTCAGACACTCACACACCCCACTGGCTCCCAGGCGAGACGAACAGGGAAGCCCACCTCTCTTGGAAGACCCCAGATGAGGAACAGCTTCTCAACAGACCCGACCTTCAGAATTTTTTTCCAGGTAGAATTAAGATGAAACCAAGAATTCTAGTATCAAGATGCAGCAGAAAAAAAAAGATAAAAAACACACACACACGAAGTGTAAGTTCTGGAGTGACATACGCTTGGACTCAAATCCTGGCTCTGCTACTTCTAGCATTTGCTGTTGGGTGAGTTACCTCATCTCTCAGAGCCTCAGTTTCCTTGTCTGTAAAATGTGGCAATAATCCCAGCTGCACATGGTTATGTGAAAAGACAAATTTAAGATAGTGCATGTGGTAGGTACTCCCTAAATGTCAGCCACGGACAGTTTTAACCATTTTAACTAAAAAACTTAAAAGTCTTTTGAAGCTAGGAATAGTGGTTTGGTTCCCTGTGTTACTGGATTTATCATTTTTAGATAACGTTGTTCATTCAGTCTTGGGAGCGGCCATAGGCAACACCCAAACACATCCCAGCCTTGAGCGTCCCCAGGAAGGCGTCTTGGGGGCCAGCAGAGTGGGCCACAGCGACCCTCTTCACATCCCTCCTGTCTAGAGGAGGAGCCCGCACAGGCGAGGCCCAGGCCTCCTGGCGAGCCGCGTCCCACAGGCAAGACAGCGCCCCATTATGAGGCGGCCCACAGCTGTGCCTCGCTCCAGATAAAGGCCGTGATTTATTCCACACACCCGAACGGGGCCTAATTATACGGGGCAGGACACAAGGACCCTACTGCCAGTGTCCTGAAAGAGTCTCCTCTCATGGGGCCCAAGACTCCTCAGCCCCCCGCCCTCTGCACTCACAAGACCCCCTCCTGTCGCCACGGCAGCCGGCCCCTCCGCCCCCGGCGGTAGGAAATCGTCCCCTTCTGAAATGTCCTGTTGTGTCTGTCTGTTCCAGTCAGAGCCCCCCACCCGGCCCTCGCCCACTCTGAGGCTTCGAAGACAGTCACACACTCGGCCTCTGTGAGGTTCGGTGGCCAAGCTGGGGGGAGGCACAGGCTGGGGACACACTGGAATATTCACGGTCCCAGTGGTGGCAGAGCAGCCGGAGGAGCAGCCCAGCACACAAGGGACCCCTCAGGAATGAAGTGGCCTTTCAGGGCCAGAGGGGCTGCAGCCTCCCCACCTCTGCTTAAATAGGCAGCTTTCCACCCAGAGCCTCTCAGAGCCCAGCGCTGGTGCCACCACCCACGCCGCAGCTCACTTGCTGCCCAGGACGCCCGCCCCTTCCTCCTGGACCCGCAGCGAGAGGTAAGGGGTAGGGCGAGCGGGCAGGGAGCCCAGGCCAGGCAGAGGCAAACACAGGCGGGGAAGCCCTGCGGGGTGGAGGCCGGGTGTGTCTTGTCCCCATCTCTTTGATCATAGTATGACCTATGTATTGAAGACCAACCATGGTCTGCATTCACAGAGCCCACAAGGCAGTGGCTCTGTCCCTCTGGGGGGCTTACAGAGGGCAAGTGGCTGACCACAGTCCCACACTGCAATGACAGCCAGAGCCAGCACCCACACCACTAACCACTAGCAACCTGGGCACAAGGAGGAGGGCAGATAAAGGAGCCGTCTGGGAGCAGTGTGTCAGCGCAGAGGAAACTGCCGCCACCTGGCCACGGCGCTGCCACCATGGCCTCCTCCTGCAGCAACACCGGCCCACCCACCCTTTCCACGAAGGGAGGCCCAAGACGTGGACCAACACTGCCCCAGCCCAGGCCAGGCTCCATGTGCCTCCCCTTGGCAACACACGCTGGGTGGCGGTCTGAGCAGAATGAGCCTCAGGCTGCCTGCCAGTGAGTCCAGACCAAGGTTTGTGCGTCTAAGGGACAGTCGAGAGTAAAGCAGGGGCTGATCTCAGACCAAACAGCAAAAATCAGTGTGAGAGAGAAGTGGAGCGAGAGGCCTCAGCAAGCCAGAAACAAACCAGAGACAGTTTTAAAATCAAGTCCCAGTCCCAGAGACAGCAAGGTGCCAGGTGCTGCTGGCCCACCCGGTGCCGAGGGATATGCGACCCCTGCAGTCACACGGCCCCTCCATCGGGCTCCATTCAGGCCTCCTCCTTCAGACACTTGCCTGAGCTCCCAATATCACTCTCCCTACATTCTGCGTCCCTCAACTCTCCACTCCCCCTCACTCCAGTTTTAGCAGCCTTGAGGAAGGTATCAGCTGAGATCATTCAATCCAAGTCAGAGGAGAGAAATAGGTCCCCCAGGGAAATCTGCATTTGACTACCACCCTAAGAACAGACCCCTTTCCTGGAAGCAGCAGGAAAATAATCTCCAGTGTTAGAACTTCCAGCATCCTGAACCTCTCTGGAACTGGGGGCAATATTTTTGGGCAGGAGAATTTCCCTGGATCCCCTAAATTGTTAGAAGGTGATATTATTAGGCAAGTGCCCTCCCCTCGCTTGAAGACGTCAACTGTCCAGATGCTCAGGCCAGCCAGCCTTTGCCCTCCACATGGGGAGGTGCTGAGGGACTCAGAATTGGCTGATGAGGACTGACAGAGAGGGTCAAGAGGCTGCTAAGCCAGCTGGTACAGTGCATCCATGGTCAGGAAGGAATGCCACATCCTCCCCAGGGCCACCTGCATGTGTAGGGATGGCCCCTGGCTACCTCCTTGAGGGGCTGCTTGCCAAGAGCAGTTACCATGCCTGCTCCACCCTGCACCACAGGCACCCTGAGGCCGGCAGGTAGTAACATGGTCATTAAGAGGAGAGGAAACTGAGGCTGGGAGAAGTGTGCAAAGAGAACCTGCTCCAGGTAAGTCCCCAGCTGCTCAGTGCAAAGCAGGCTCACCCAAAATAAGGACCCTGCCCTGGCTGCAGCTTGTGCTCCCTGCTCCCCGCTGCTGTCCTGCAGTGGGTGGATGGGCAGGTGAGGTGTAGCTTCTCTCCTGTGAATGCCTCTCCTGCCCCTTCTGCAGCCCAGCCACGCAGGGCAGGGAGTATGGGTGCTGGGAGGCTGGGCCTCCAGAGAAGCCCCAGAAGCTGAGTGCCAGGCTGAAGTCCGTTAGCAACTGCAGGGATGAGAAGGCAGGGAGGGCAGCAGCCTCCCCAGCCAGGCCTGGTATCCTGCCCGGTGCCAGGCTGCTCTGGCTCTGCCACCTGCCCTCTCCTGCCCACGGCCCCCACTCTCAGGCCCCAGGCTGAAGTCCGTTAGCAACTGCAGGGATGAGAAGGCAGGGAGGGCAGCAGCCTCCCCAGCCAGGCCTGGTATCCTGCCCAGTGCCAGGCTGCTCTGGCTCTGCCACCTGCCCTCTCCTGCCCACGGCCCCCACTCTCAGGC